TATGGCTATAGAGAGATGGCTTTGTTCGGACACACAGGAGTTCAGTCGTTCGACCACTTCTTTCCAAGGTTTTAAAGATATTTGGCATCCATTGACAGTAGTTAACTCAGCAGATAAGGATGGCGTGAAGATATATATATATATAATGTAATATAAGCCATATCTGGAACAAATTATGTAATGGCATATCTGGAACAAATTATGTAAAATCTACAGAGAAAGAAAAATGGCATGAAACACTTTCGAAAGATTGAAAATGTTTTTATTTCGAGAAACTGCCGCTGTGCTTGAAACGGAAAGTACTCGATCAATGTGTACTCCCAGTGCCAACCTGAGGGTATGTTGAAACGTGGACTTTACGCTTCAAGGCTATTCATAAACGCAGACAGCACAACGCAGCATGGAAAGGTGAATTTTGAGAATAACTGGAGAAGGCAGAAAGCCGAATGAACGAGTAATAGCACAAACTAGAGTCGGCTGTATTACCTCCTGAGTGAAAATGTTGACATGGACAGGGCACGTTGCAAGCGGAACTCGTTTTCGCTGGACCAGACAGGCATTAGATTATTTCCAAAGAGAGAGTGAACTGCCCGTAGAGAAAGCTCCATATCGATGGCAAGATGGACTGAAGAAGTTCGCTGGATCAGAATGGAAGAAAATGGCAGATAACGGAATTTTATGACAAAGATTTCAATGGGAGGGTCCATCAAACAATGGATTGACAAAATCTGATGGTAACAATATATGGGCTCAATAGAAGTTTGATGAAGAGGCAGGTGAAAGGGGCTACTAGATGGGAGAAGCCACGCCTTGTGTATTATTTTGCTACTTAATGCTTCAGAGATTTCGCTGACAGGCGCTCTTGATGATTTCCCAAGGTGTTCACATAACTTGATACTAGTGCCTACGATCCGCATTGGAATTACATATTTTCTTTTCCTTCGTTTCGACTTCTATCTCACATCATGAAGATTTGTATAACATTTTTCCGTAATTACGAATGCACCGTATGCCGTAGCGATAAACAATGCGCTAATATAATATCGGTTACTTGTCAGATAATAGTTAATTGCTCTGATGAAACTTCCAATTGATATACTCTTATATATTCTCTAAGTTTTGCCATTTACCACATAATAAAATGCTTGCTGAAACTAAATTTACCAAACACCTTTCTCACTGCTAAACTTAAAACCGCATCTTCCTGCAAAACAGCACCATAACATTTTACTGCCACACTACAACACTGAGAAGCCTGTAAAGAGGAGGACATGGAAAATGTTGAAATGAAACGCAGTTTGTCAATAATTTTATATTTTCCAGGAAATTGTTCTAAGGCTACGATCATCAATCATACTGTAATATTTCAACGAATCCTGTTCGTCAGAACAGCCATAAAAATTTCGCTCATTAATTTCTGTTTTTCTTTACTGAAGCAATGTTAACCGCAGCTGTTTAGCGTGATTACAAAGCAGGCTAATCTTATGGGGTCCAACTGCAATGCGGCAGCTCTAAAAATGTGATCGAAACAATTAATTTTACTTTTACACAAGAGAATAATATCATATGCCTGTATTAAGCGACATTCTTTACGAAATCTCATCGTTAACCTCAGCCACTCTTGAGGATTAAGCAAGTTGTGGAACTTCTCACTGTATATAAATAAAAGTTTTACCGCAGTTGAGATGAGCAGTCACATGCAACCACTGAAAGATTGCAGCAAATAAACACTAGGCTTTAGATTTAGGTTCAGTGGGCCAAACGCAGTTGTGTACAAGTATTAAAATTTTATTTATGTTTTTTGTTGCTCTATGACATGTGCCAATCTACTCTGTTGTGTGACATCTTATTATAACTTATGCGATGTTGTATCGCTTGAGTGTGAGTGCTTTGCACGCTTGCCACTTTCAAATCGTCGTAAAGTAAAACGACATCCGCTGTGAACACCCGTTCAATCAAAAAACAGGAAATTGCTGGCAAAAACAAAAACTCTGCTACATTTGCACTTCCAGCTGACTAACGGGAAGAAGTGCTTTTGAAAATCGTCAGTGTCGGTCCAAGAATTGAAACTGACTGCAAGCGGTTCTGGAATGACGGCTGTCACAAATTCCACGAAGTGACGGATGTGGAACTCAAACAGAAG